TCTAGGCCTTGAAGGTAGAATTTCTCCCTCAAAGCAAAGCTTGAAGCTTAGCTGACTTTTGAAGGCCCAGAATTGAAGGCTTTAAATAAAGCAAAGGACACATTTCTCACTATTCTCCCTGGGAATTAATGCCAGGCCAGAAACAGAGGCACCTGGTTCTGCTTTTTATAGCACTCCTGCATAGTTTGGTATTTCTAGCTTTTTAACTCTTGGAAGAAGGACGAGAACCAAACTGCAAAGAGGTGTTGCTGTGCTAGGGAGAGAACACTCACACGATCATGCCCTGATGCTCTCATTTCTGTGTAGTGAATGTGGAAGGCTGCCTGCATTTCCCATAAAATGCCATCTCCCCATCCCTCAAATTGAATTAGAGTGTGCATAGGTTGTGTAGCATACTGCAGAGCTTTGAACATGGCTTCTAGGGCCAATGGGAAGCACTAAAAACAATTTAACTCCAGAAGTAGCTTGTGGTCTCACTAGATTTCCTTCTCCCCCTCCACCCCTTTATGTCAATCACTGTCTCTTTAATATTGTGTTAACTATGACAAGTGATCAGGTGCTGCCTGGGTACCCCAGGTACTATCCCCTCAGTATTAGGATCAATACTTCAGGCTTAGCTTGATGTACCTTTCAGGAGATACAGTACTTCCTGCCTTGACTGCCCTATGTGGCTACGACAGCTTAATTTATTTTTCCTACAACTCATAGCAATGCACTTTCACAGATGAATACCATGTTAGCAGTCTCAGAGAAGTTAAACCAAGCAGCAGACTTCATTAGACCGGAGTGGAGACAGCAGGAGCTGACAATTACCCTACCTTGGACTTACAGGTCTTCTAGCCGTGACAGATTCAATTAGTCTCTTTCAGCTTTATTATACCCCCAGGCAATAGTCAAGAATAAATCAAGCTAGAGTGACAGCTTTGCAGTGGCCCAGCAACTGACTGCAATTCTGTGTAGTTCAAATGAATGCACAGATTAGGGCCTTTGTAAAAACTGAGGACGGGTTTCTCGTCCTTTTTTTTACTGATTACTTTTGCATATTCCAGGTATAGCTTGCATTGCCTTTACAGAGTTGAGGTCTGTATTCATTGTATGAAAAATCTCAGTAGACAATCTGGTTTTGCACAATCTGGTTTTGTACAAAATATTTGGTTTTGCACATTCTGGTTTTGCACAAAATATTACGCACAAAATATTGCACAAAAGCACAAAATATTGTAACTGTTTGCTGAAAGAGCTTGATTTTCATGCTGTTTGCATCTTAAAAGCCAAACATCTTTCACAAGGTTCTCCCTTGTGAGTTATAGATGGCCAATGCCATCTATATTAATAGGTGCTGGATCTTATCTTCCTTGCCAGCTCTTACCTGTTTTTTTAACTGGAGATGGTAGGGGTTGAACCTGGAATCTTCTGAATGCAACATGTGCTCCATTAGCTTCCTCCAAAATTACAGTGACCATATTTTCTTGGAAAAAATAAAGGACAAACTTGAAAAAGGGGCAAATCTG